AAAATAAATAAAAATTAACTAAAATTAAAAGAAAAATGGAAAATATTAAAATAAATAAAAACAATATTAGTATAGCAAAACTGCTCATGGCTGGTTAGTAGGGGTGGGCGAATCAGCTGGAGCATTCAAGAAATTGAATTAACAAATATAAAAATAAAACATTAAATACATCAATTATACATTGATTCTTATTTAAGCAACTGTGTAACAGTTATTGCTGCTGTTTTATTAACATTAAAGGGATTGTTCACCCCAAAAATTTTTTACTTACTCTCAAGTTGTTTTTCAAACCTGAATGAGTTTCTTTCTTCTGTTGAACATAAATGTTATGTTGAAGAACGTGGGTAAAACAGTTGCTGGTCCACAGTGACTTCCATAGTAATTTTTTTCCTGCTATCAATGTCAATGTGGACCAGCTACTTTTTGGTTACCACATTCTTTAAAATATCCTCTTTTGTGTTCAGCACAAGAAAGAAATGAATACAGGTTTGGAACAACATGTGAGTGAGTAAATAATAACAGAAATTTTATTTTTGAGTGAATTATTCTCCTGTCCCTTTAAGACCTGCATGCATCTAATATACAGGCACGCATCTGTTTTTCTCTCAACTGTTTACTTTCACTTTAGACATAACCAACTGAGTCTATATGTAAACCTTGTGTGTTTTACAGTATTAGCACAAAATATAACTTAGTCCAGTAATCAGGCGCTGTTTTTAATGCGCACGCTTCAGCTGTACCTACGCGCTCAGAACAAGCGCATGTCAGAACAGCACGTGAATGAAATGATTAACCAGCAACTGTACTTTTGTGATTGCGAATAAGTGCAGTGTCCCGTGAGTGTTTAACTACCGCCGAGTTACCTTTTGATGTGAATGTACAGTATAGGCTATTGATGATAGAACGTGAGCTGTAGCACGATACTATGATATTTCTTCAAAAGCCGATTGTGGAGACGTCATATCGCACACCCCTACCGGTTAGGTGTCATTTTTACATATTTTATAAAAAATAATAATAATAATCAGCCAGCTGCCAAAGCAACATTTATCATATATACTAAAATAAATAAAACAGAAATAAAAATAAAAATAATAAAAACTACTTAAAAAAGAAACTACTAAAAAAAATAAAGAAAAAATCTCCAGTCCCCATTCAAAACTTGAGTGATACATTAAAAGGAGCATTTTTGAGTTGAACACAAGAATAAAATTTAAGAGCTCCAGCAAAGAGGAAGATTATCATTGAACATCTGCATTAATTTTGTTCATTTCCTAATGCAAATCTATCGTATGATTTCAGAAGACTTTAAATAGTGTGCAGGAATCATAAGGACTAATTTTATGCTGCTTATTTGTCCTTTTGAACTTGACAGGTTCAATCACACCATGTACTTTGATTGCATGGAAAAGAGCAGCATGAACTTTCTTCCCACCGTCTTCTTTTGTGTTTCACAAAAGAAAGCAAATAACACAAGTTTGGAATGCTACGGGGGTAAGTAAATGATGACAAAATCTGCATTTATGAACTATTCCTTCAAGGCCGTTTCAAAGCACATCTGCCCTCAAGGAAGTGTTTGTGTTGTCGCAACAAAGAAAGACTTTGAATTCTCTCGCACGTCTAACACCTCCGTCAAACGCAGCAGCTCTGCCTGCCTCCAAGGTCTCTGCATCCCCTGGCAACACATCGCTATGACAATGAGCATCGTTACCGTAGGGCGACGAGGACACGTCCTCCCCTCCCTACCTTCATGACAGGAAGCCTCTCGGCGTCACGTGAGGGATGATGCAGTGGGGTAGAAGTGATGAGTCAGACGCCGCTTTACAATGTTTCCATCCCAATCAATAGAACAGCTGTAGCCTCGTGCTTTTAGGGGCTCACATTCCCGCAGGCGCACTGCAATTATGTGACAGCCAAAGTGCTTTTACAAAGGCAACGGCAAATGATGTTAAAACAATGCACTGCTTAAACGTCAATGAGGCGAGCCACACATGCGGCTGCCAACTAACCCTGCTAACCCTGACAGTCAACTATGTGATTACACTAAACAGCCCAACTGGTTTAATGCTGTTTATTGCTCAAATTGCTCATTTGACATATAGAATCAAGGCTGAACGATTCGGTCAAATAATTAACACACCTGCATCTCGCCAAGGAAGTTAACTTAGCTAAAAAATTATACAGGTTTATGTGTTTGCTTTGGTCCACTAGTCCAATTAGGCAATGCTATTTTAACAAAAAATCAGTTGCATGCATCTTTCAGGAAACTTGAGGAAATTAAATTGTGCAATGTTGACATTATTTTACAATTTAAGGTTCAGCATCGTTTACCGTCACTAGTGAATAATTCAACGAACCCATGACATCCTTTCTGATATAAAGCCTAAACCCATGGATTCCCTTCGGAGAGGACGTTAAGCTTATCTAATTGTTTACAGATTGAGACATTAAGCCTAAATATTTGATATACAAGTTCTAGATTTCCTCATTTATTTGGGCAGCTCTGACTAATACATCTATTCTATTACCGTACATATCACCATTTCAAGTTCGTTTAATGATTACTTTATCAAATGTGTCACATTGTTAATGTTCTACAGAAATGTAAACCACCTCTGAGCTTCCCGTTTCACACTATAATCGATTCCTAGCAGCATGCCGATCTGTCATGATGAAGCTATTTGACAGATTTTAGAGAGATGAACCAAATGAAGGCCTGATGTATTAACAGTAACATAACTGTCCTTAAAGCCCCTTGCAATTAATTGCTTGCATTTTTCTTTTGCTTTGGGTAAATTCAGATAAATTCATTTGCTAAATTAATAATGGAAATGCAAAAAGACAATTCACATCAGTAAGCATTCATTTAAAGGTTTTTGCATGGGACAAGCCTGATGCAAATGCATCTGAATTTAACCTCCACTACATTTGCATACAAAATTGTAGGTCAGGGATCTTCTGAGTGTTGCATTTCAAACCTGGCCTATAACAGCATATATATTGTACCAAATTAATAATGCAATTACAGTATATACAGTAGTTTGCACGACAATACTTATTTTTAACAGCTTTGCAATGTAAACACCATTACATTTTAATCATACTTAACACTTGTTAATGTGTGAGAGACATTGAATAATTTTGCATAACTTAAGCTCCTTAAAATGCAATACTTATACATTTTCATCTTTTACATGACTTCTTGAAGAGCTCTGCTCTTTGTGGTTTTTAAAACATGTCTACAGTAAACTGTTCATTACACTGCGATGCAAAACTAAATAACGCAGGTTTCTAAAACCCAAAGGTAACTAATTACCCCCATTAGACATCCTCACTGAACACGAACCATTATCCTGCATTGAACAGCCACCATGCGCAGACTATCAGACAGAGGCTTAATTTACTAAAACAACGAGAAAGGTGCAGTACCTGCTGTTAGGGCAAATAAAAATTAGATCATGGAATTAGATTGCTATTTGGGTCATACTTGCATTATGCTTATTGAGATTTAGCAAAGCATCTTAGCATATATCCTCTTCCATATCTATGTCTCTCAGCACCTTTCATCTGCATGTCTCAGCTAACTAATAATACTTGTTTGGACACTGTATGATAAGACCATGTTATTTCAACAGATACCATGACAATATGATGCTACGTGACATTAATATGGTGATCAAAGTATGCTACTATGGTATATATTTTAAAAAAAAACTACCATGGCATTCATATCCAATAGCCTACTATTACTGTACCATGATATACTTTCCTCATCCCGTCTTCAGAAACCGGCCGACGCGACGCAATTAAATTAGGACGCGACGCATTGACAGCTGCGTTCATAATAGAAGCGTTCTAGTAGTTGCGTGTTGGTGGTGATGATGATGATGATAACGCACTAGTTGTCGTGCTCTCACGTGCTCGGCGCGCGCAAGGGGTGTGGCGAGGGATTTGGGAGCGGTTTCATGACGGGACTAGTTTTGATGGGTGAACCGTATGTCTATATCTGTGCGTGCATATCAAGTAACTGTTCCAGACAGAAACGATCCAGGGTGATTTATTCTATTTCATTCTCCTCACGCAGCGATGACGCGGGGAAAAGACCAACTTAAGCACGTGAAGTCTAAAGTAACAAATATTGCTAAACTCATCCTTATCATTTGTGTTATTATGTTATCTCTCAATCTGCGTGTGCGTTAAAGCAAGAAAAAAAAACTGTTCTTAAAGTCATTATTTTAAATGAAATATCAAACCGATTAGCTCCGCCGATTTATAACCTGACGCGAAAAATTCTAATAAATAATCCTCAAGGAACTATGACGCGAACGCTGTTAATTTCAACACGAACAAGTGTGAAATATGAGCTGCCGACGCTGATTTTCTTTTTAGCCATGCTAACGAATGCAGCGACGAAGCCATCATCATTTATATTGTTTTATGCTCAGAAACAAACTGTAATCGCGTCAGAGCTCGGCGGACGATTTCTAAACTGACGTGATTTATATTTTATGAAATAATTCCCGTCACGAAGTAACGGAGCAATGACGCGGGGGAAAAAGGCAAGAGCTGTCAACTAAAACAATCCTCAGGAATGAGCTGTCAACGCGTATTTTTCATCGATTTTAACAAATTCAATGTCACGGTGATTTAACGACGGCCCAGTACGCGAGCGTTCCCGCTGTAGCTCGTGGCCATTTCACGCAAACCTGTAAACCTCTCGCGCTCTATCGCGTAACATTATTTTTGTTTGTTTTTTTCCTTAACTACTTATTATCTCTCGCTCGGAAACAACAAGGCAACACACAACATTTACTAAACCCGTGTCGACATCACTGAGCGACGAGCCCAACGCTAGCAAAACGCGCGCGGTCTCTGCAATGACAAACATTGTATCGACATTTGAGACACTGTATCGACTATAAACCGACTGCGCGTTACAAATAACCTACCGCGCTACTTTGTCGACAACTTAAAACGCTTGAATTGAACCTGCCGCTTACCTGGTTATCATGACCTGCCGCTGCTGTGCTGTTTCTTGACCACAAATCACGCAGACGGCAAAAGAGCTCGATGGAAACTGCGGCAAATGACTCGTTAAGTCAAGGGAATTAAGGCTTGTTTTTTAACCGAAGCGAACATTCTCGTCGGTCCACGCGAAGCGCGATTTGTCAGGCAACTGGTTTAGATTTTAACGCCGAACTCTAGTTAGTTTACCAAAAAGCTGGTCATGCAACAAGCTGCTCTGACAGCTCGTGGGAGGAGGGACCAGGTCATGTGACTGGGAAAGGGGGGAGGTTGCTACTTTGAAACAATAATTATACCATAAATGTATTCCATATAACTACTTTTATCATTTATATGTCTTAAGAAATTTAAAAGCTGCTGCTAATTGTAGTTTATGATATCTAGTCAAAATACTTGTCTTATCAGTTGTGTTAATTCCCCCCTATTTACAGTCTGAGGTGGTTTAGTCCAAATGAATGTCAGGAGCCCTGGGAAGGGCAAGGGTCTGCTTGTTGCCGTGGAAACAACAGTGAATCTCCTGAGGGTACAATGGATGTGGGCTACAGTGCTGTTAAATCAACAAGCTGAAGGCCTGTTGTTCATCTTAGATGGTGACGATTAGATTCGGACGGCTGAATCCGCAACAGTTTACATGTCAAGTGAGTGAGAGCCCTGTGTGCCCAGAGGCCCCTGTGCCATGATATTATGAAAGTTATTACTTTTAAGATAAAGACCGGAAGTGCTTAACTGAAAAGTAATGAAGGCAATTAGAATAATCCATAATGATAAATTATAGACGTTAGGGGCAGGTTTATGTGGGATAGATTTTACAAGGGCAATGTAAAACGATTAAATAATGGTGCAGCAGTACAAAAAAGAGAGAAAATGTGTAGAGAAAATATATGCAGACTAGTTCATTAAAACTGAAAACAAAGCACAAATTTGCTTGTGGGTATCTTTTACTTGCTATTAAATGCCACAAACAAAACTAGGAATATTTTTCAAATATTTGATGTCACTGACCATTCCTAGTCTGATGTTTTAGCCCTTAACTTTGAGATTAACGTCTATATTTTTCTAAAAGTTTAAATGTAGATATACACATGTAAATGCATAATGGAAAATGGAGCCAATAGATTAGTCATAAAATGTAAAATAATTTCTATTATTGGAGTAAAATCGGTTAATTTACATGTTATCACTTTAGCGTAACTGGAAAACATTTTAATAGCATAATCAAACAAGAACTGCATAAAGTAATAAAAGGTAAGCTCTTATGAGCGTAATAAAGACAACTAATAACTTTAAATTGAACACGGTGACTGCACTGTGTTTTGTTTGCCATTCCCTGTTGGAAAGTGAAGGACTACAAATAGATGTAGGCTATTAAGATGTATTTGTTTTCCAGCTCATCTCTTTCCTCTTGAAGTACAGTAAAAATACCTCACTTTAATTGGGACAACTCGTGAAGAATACAAGGCATGTAATCACCTCAAAGGTTTTGCATTTGATAAATGATTATCTGAACACTTTCCCATGCTGGAACCTGAGAAAGTCGTCTACTTTAGAAGAAAAAAAAAACTGCAGAATCAATCCAAAATGATGAATATGTCATTCATTAAGGCATCTGAACTGAATTGTAATGTATTAGCACTTGGGCGAACCCTTAATCAAGACTTTCTGCATTAAAATAATTGATTTGCCAACATTTCTGTCCCAGAGGAAAGTCATTAGGTTGGCAGATCATTAATTAATGTCAACTTAAAGGTGACTGAATGGCAACCTTTAAGAAATAAATGATTGCAAATATGTATTGATAGGTATTACGAGGATGGTCGTTTATCATATAGCCGTTGTATATGCCTAAACACACTAAATAACCTAACGGACTGAAGGATATTGAATTGATGACGATTCACTGGTTAGAGCACGTCTGGATTTTCTTCTTGTAAGCAGAAGATGTGGGAGAGTGTCAGAAACATTCCTAGAATGAACTGGAACTCACTGATACTATTATTTTCTCCAGTGCACATGCCATGAGCAAATTAAATTATTAGAAGTCAGAACCCAGTCACCTCATCACCGGCTGCCGGGTTTGGTGTGCTGTGGAAAATTACTGTCAACACTCTCAAAAATAAAGCTTCTAAAAAGAGGTTTTTCACAAGAACCATTTTGGGTTCCCCAAAGAATGTTTCAGTCAACAGTTCTTAAAAGAAATAAAATAACTTTAAATAACCTTTTTCCACTATAAAGAGCCTTCTGTTGAATGGAAAGTTCTTGTAACTTCACAGATCTTCTTTATGCACCAAGAGGTTGTAACACTCCAAAGAGAAAGGAAAACTTGAAATTTAAAGATTCTTCACGGAACCATCAATGCCAATAAAGCACCTTTATTTTAAAGGGTCCGTTCACACAGAACGCGTCTTTGCACTTAAAAATACGAGAAACAGTGCTCAGGAATTTTAAAGCGCAGTGCAGAATGCCTCCTACGCAATGTTGCCTTAAAATAAAACAGTTGGCATGCCAACTTGCTACTGCAAAACAAAAGTTTGCAAGGCTTGCCCTGCCTTTGGTGTCTTCTGATTGGTCCACTGTAAAAGACACAAGATGTGAGCGCAACAGTCATAGACATCCATCTAGTGCGTTTACATAGAAAAATAATGGAAAAGTAGCACACTAAGAGTGTATGTTCACTGTGGTGACATTTAGGTAAACCAATTTTATTCAAGTAATATTTGGGAAAAATGTCTAAATTTGGTACTTTTTTATTTTTTCAATTGGCTATGAAAATATTTGTTTACTTAAAAATAAACGTTCATTGGCTTCTATGGTTTCATGAAGAATACTCATGAAACCTTTTTAATGCACAAAAGGTTCTTTACACTGGAGAAAAGGTTCTTTAGATTATAAAATGTTCTTCACACTAAGAAAAAAAATGTTTCTTTTAAGAATTGATCACTGAAAGCTTCTTTGGGGAACCAGAAATGGTTCTTCCATGGCATCACTGCCAAAAAAAAAAAAAGCTTTTAGAACCTTTATTTTTAAGAGTGTAATACAGAAATTCAACCCTTCATTATTATATAGATTGGAAAATAACAAACAGCATGGGAGGATCTTCAATTCATGTCAGTTTTCATGCTTCCAATATTTCACATTCGTCCAATTAGCACATTGGGCCACTGTGTTTGGCTTTAAATATGTCATGCTTATTTTAAACTGAAGCAACAACAGCGTTGCGATTGTGCAAAAGATCTCAATCAGCATTCCTCAAACCCATAACCGCTGAGCGCGACTTCCTCCCAAACCCTTCCCAGCGTTCGCCAGACGTCCGCAAACATAAACATCATCACCGCGATCTCCTCCGGGATTAGCCGAGTTACACAAGCGTACAGTTTGCAAATCACCAAAAGTTGAAAACAATTCTTGGTGAAACATTCCTTCCGTTCGGCCCAGCATTGGTAGGGAGCTGTTGAATGTGGCCATAATGACCTAAGTGTGGTCTCTCGCCGTCATGTGAAACGGCATTATTCAAGGAGGTGCGGAGAGACAAACTGCGGCTTATTATGTTGAGTATGAATCTAAATAGACCTCTAGAGATGAGTGCTAAATCCAGACTTGTGCATCATCTCCATTTTGGCAAAGTGCATCAGACGCGCCACCTTGAATGATCAACAGGACCTGGAATAACATCGTGTTGCTAAATTTAAGGTCCATTAAATCTCAACACAGCACATCGAACGCCAAAAACAGTCATCTGAAAATAAATAGCCATTAGTAAGAGACTCAGAATGCGATTCAAATGGCCATTTCGGGAGTTGTTTTGATGTGAGTCAAAGCTTCGCTGGCGGTGAGATGTAAAGAAGGTTCACTGGTTAAGCTTCTCTGTTGAAAGGTCACCCATCCATGGCTTTGAGCTTTAAACGGTCACTAAACCCCACCATATCGATTCATAAAAATCCTACTACATTACACTCTGTGTGTGAATTTCATTTCAAACATAGAGTGACCTTTTAATACTCTCCCCGTGGTTGTCATTTTAAGTGACAGTCACAGTCTGAGCTTTTTATACTAATCCAATAGTAAATAAAGGTAAAAAGTGTTTTTAAAAATTAGACCAAAACATCATCTACACAAATATGTTTAGAATGTGTCTTATACTCCAGCTGAATTTTGTGCATTCATTGTTATGTTTCGAAATGTAAATAAGGCAACATGTTGCATTGTCAGCATTGCTAGAAGAGGTGGGGCTGCTTTATCAACCAAGCATTCATGGATGCATGTGTAAAGAATGTTTCTGGCTTTCAAGAAGCAGGGCACAGCTGTCAAATCTATGTGTGCTTCTGTCCTTTGTTTCATGCCAAATACATTGCACAAGTACATTTTATTTAAATATCACAATGCACATAGTCTCAAAGCCACTCAATGCAGTGAAGATGTATTCGATTTTGATTTAAAGCTTATTCAACTCAGGCTCATTGGAAAAACTGGTGACATTTCTGCAAAGATTTCTTGCACATTTCATGACACGTTCAAAGTGAAATGTCCAGTGAGTGGTGCCAAAAGCCCAAAACAGATGAACATGAATCTTGCAACATTTTATTTTGGTTGTTGTACGTATCGCAATAGTTTGGAAATGAAATGTCCGGTGAGGGGTGCTAAAAGGTTAATGCGCATTTAAAAGTAACGCACAAGCTACACTAAACCCGACCTTAAACCTAATCGATAGTTTAACAAAAGCAAATATGATTAAAAAAAAACACACCTTGTAAAGCAACTGAGGCATTTTTGCTTGCCTCTATACAAGTCTTTAAGCTATTTTATGTCTACTTGGGTTTCACGGCACTCGTACCTGAGTGCTCCGCATCACAAAAGCAAACTGCATCGGGTGCGCTACCAAGCAAGTTTACTTTGACGGAAGAGCCATACATATGGACTTGATTATGTGATTCAAACATCAAACTTACAAATTATGCACTATGGTGAAAGCATTTTGAAGTGAAAACATAGAATTGTGCAAGCAGCCATGCAAAAAGTCTTTATTAACCATTAATTTGCCTAGTTATCACAATTGGTGTGAAAAGGAATAAAACATGTTGATGTTTTACTGCCTCTAGTGTTCATTTCAGCTTGAAACTGCGGTAAAATATAAGTATAGGTACATTTTTGGAGTATGGCAAAAATTTAGATACATGTTTTTCTAATCAGCCTATGTTACAACATACAGTATATAAATCCCATGTGAGCAAA